AGTGCCAACAAAAAAATCATAATAATTCTTTAAAAGTTTGTACCTATCATTTTTATTATCTTGGAATTAAAAGTAATCTATGTTTCTCAGTGATACTTTGCAATGATTTTTTTTTCATAAGAACTAACAGTGTGATAAAAGTTCTGTTTGGTGATTAAACAGCTAGACAAAGAGACATATTACAGCTTTAAATCAACAAATCTGACAGCTCCTGATGGCAAAGCTTTCCGTTGAAAGTACTTTGGGGGCTGTATATGGCATTGTACAGAGACATGGGTCTGTAGGCCTCTGGTTGGCCACTTTGTGTGGCAATGCTTTTGTGGATGGGGTTCAAAGTGCAAGCAGTTGCAGATCGCTTAAGGATTAAGTTTTGAATGCTTACCACAAGCAACCTGTTACTCACTGCAAAGTGACATTGATGAGTTAAAGGAAGCATGCAGACTGGAGTATTCACTTCCTGGAGCTGCCTGGAGAAGTATTACATACATCCAACAGTTTAAAACAACATAGAAGGTCACCGTTTTATGGTTGTAGCAAGCAGAAGTCTGAAGCCAAAGTGTTAGCAGGATCAAGTTCCTGTGAAAGTGGTAAGAGACGGTTCTCCCCTGCCTCTTTTAGCTTTTGCAATCTGTCAGTTGTTGGCCCATTGATGTTTATTACAGCTTTCTTTCTTTCTTTCTTTCTTTCTTTCTTTCTTTCTTTCTTTCTTTCTCTCTTCTTGCTTCTTTCTTTCTTTCTTTCTTTCCTTCCTTCCTTCCTTCCTTCCTTCCTTCCTTCCTTCCTCCCTCTCTTCCTTTCTTTCTTTTTTCAAGACAGGGTTTCTTTGAGTAGCTCTGGCTATCCTGAAACTCTCTTTGTAGACCAGGCTGGCCTTGAACTCAGAGACTTACTCATTTCCTTCTGCCTTCTGAGTGCTAGGATTAAAGGAGTGTGCCACTACCACCTGACTGGCATTTATTTTCTTAAATTTATATGTGTGGTGTTGAGTGTATAAATATGCATTGTCTCTCTCCCTCTCCTTCTCTCTCTTTTTCTCTCTCTGTCTCTCTGCCTGTCTCTCTCTCTGTTTCTTTCTCCTACACACACTTGTGTGCACATGCATGCAGAGGCCAGAGGTCGACACTGGGTGTCTTCCTTGATCATCCTCCACTCGATTTACTAGGACTGGGTCCCTCACTGAACCCAGGACTTTCAGGATTGCCTGGAGATCTATTGTCTCTGCCTCCCAAGGGAGTGCTGAGATTCCAGGCAGGCCACCACCCTTGCCTGGCTTTTGTGTAGGTGTTAGGGATCTGAACTCTGGTCCTTGTGTCTGTTTGGCCTGCCCTAAGCCATCTCCCCAGTCCTTATCCTTTCTTTGCTGGCATCACTACAAATCAATTCATCATCTGCTCATGTTAACACAAGGACATGCATCCTTGTGTGTTTTCCTTCCTCTCTATAAGGGCACCAGTCAATTCTACTCAGATTCCATCCTACCCCAGTGTGACTTGGTTTTAATTAATTCCATCCAAAATGACCCTATCTCTGTAGAGGTTCCCATCTAAAGAATCTGAACTGCCAACATAGTTTTCTGAAGGACATACCAGGAAGTAGCAAGTTAAAGTCCTTTAATTACAATAGCCCATCTGAGCATTTGTTCCCACTGCTTAGCTGGAAACAGTGAATAAATAATAAGAGCATGTTCCTGCACTTTTGGAATGGCTTTAATTAACATAACAATGGAAAGTTCCCTTCTAGTTACTCACCAACCCAAATTCTGTTTGAATTCCAAACTTGGAGAACATCACATCAGCATTCTGAGAGTGTAGCATCTACATACAATGGCATGACATCAGAAAGATAACCTCTTAAATTAATTACTGAGTTTTAGGCATGGGTAAACCTCTGATTTTTTGTTTGTTTGTTTGTTTGTTTTGTTTTTTGAGGTAGGGTTTCTCCGTGTAGCTTTGGAGTCTATCCTGGTACTCGCTCTGGAGACCTGGTTGACCTGGAACTCACAGAGATCCGCCTGCCTCTGCCTCCCGAGTGCTGGGATTAAAGACATGTGCCACCAACGCCCGGCTTAAACCTCTGATTTTTAACATTACTGGTATTAACCTGTGTCAAGTTACTATAAAATACAGGGAAATAGAACCACTGAAAACCAGTTTCTCTAATGAATTATATGTTGCCTGTTGATTGAACCCATTTTGATTCCAAATGAGCCAAAAAGAAGATATTTCCCAGAACTGGGACTTTGATTAGAAAAGTTTGTCCTAGTGTATTTTAACTGCAGATCAATTGACAATGTTCCGAGTCATCAAAGAGTGTATTCTAACTCTGGGTTTTCTGGCATTTTCTCTTCTCATCATTGTTGATAAGAGGTTATTGAGGGTCTGGAACTTTCAAGAAGTATTTATATAAGCACCAGAGCTCACTGATTAATTGTCAGCTAACAAATCAATTACAGACAGACATGGTCTGCAGCTGAACTCTACGTGCTTTCTTAGAGCAGTTCTGCTTGTAGAATGCTCCTGCGGTGGCGTGAGAATCTGTATGTTAAAAAGGCTCACGGGTGAAATGCTTTCAGAAAACCCTTCTGGAACAAACTCAGTGTTGACACATAGGTAAGATATTCCTTACATATGAGAGCAGACTGCCTTTTTGTGTTGACAGTTTGCCTGCCAGTAGAAGTTTGGGCACTATCTGAATGTTACAAAGTTAATTGTCTTGTCCTTGACTTTATGTTCTGAGAGGAAAATGACATGGGGAGTGTGGTGGTCTAAATAAGAATGCCCCCCATGTGCTCATTATTTTTTACTGCTTAGTCTTAGGGGGTGGCACAGTTTGAGAAGGATTAGGAGGTGTGGCCTTGATGGAGTAGGTGTGGCCTTGTTGGAGGAAGTGTGTCACCCCTGGTAGTCTTTGAGGTTTCAAAGGCCAAGCCCAGAATCTTTCTTCCTGTTGTCTGTGGTACTTGATGTAGAACTCTCAGGAACCTCTCCAGAACCATGTTTGCCTATGTGCCTCCATGCTTCTTGCTATGCTGATAATGGAATAAATCTCTGAAACTGCAAGCAAGCCCAAATTAAATGCTTTCTTTTTTAAGAGTTGCTGTGGTCATGGTATCTCTTCACAGCAACAGGACACTAAGATAAAGAGTTAAGTGATACAGAGGGTTACTGAGCACAGATTTTCTTTTATGCTGAGTCCAGCACTGCTTAGGGAGTGACCTGACTAGGGAAATGAGGGAATTACAAAAAGGACAGGACAGACACACTGACACACATACAGAAAGGCTAAGATCAGGTGGGTAATGCTCCCTCTGCTGGAGCAGTGCCAATTATGCAACAACCTGGAACCTCTGGGAATTGATAATCTTCTCTCACAGGGAGGGAAGGGTTACTTAGCTTCTGTAGACGGTCTATGTAGGGGAGCAGTTGTCCTGGCTGAAGAAGCTTCAGTTGCTAGTTTCTGTTCACCCTGGTCAATGGCTCCTAAACATTCACTCTTGGACCAGAGGAAAGCTTTGCCATTGCCTCTGAGCCTCACCAGGAGGGAGGAAGGATTTGCCAGTTCTGATGGGTTTGAGGCATTGATGTCCTTGAGGTGGCTGTGCCCGTGTCAACAATATATGTTCACTCAAGGCTTCCTCTGCTCTCCACGTTGTTCATT